AGCTCGTGTCACGTTATTTCCTCCCCCGCATTCCTGGCGAGATGACGGGTGGAGCCATCCCGACGCATGGCTCGCATCGACCAACAAAGCCAAGCTTGCCCACTTGCTTGAATCCTTGAGGCTTGGATTCCTTCTCGATGCTGTTTCCATAGTAAACCTTTGTTCGTACGGAGTATATCCTTACAGTCCGCTGCCTTTCCGGCCTCGATGCTGAGATGGCCAAGAACCCCAGCAACTGACGATGCATCTCAATTGCTGCTATAGCCCAATTCCGGATACTACCCAAACGAGCTTTGCTGCAACTAGACAGCATGAGGGCGCCCATATCAAATCTACTCCCCGCGACATCGCATGACTGCACGAATTGAACTTGTCTATCCGTAGTCGTTTTTTTTTCTGATATTCGGACGAAAAGCGACACATCAGACGAGGAGTGCAAAGGCCCCTCGATCCATGAATAGCATCACTCCGGGCGTAACGCCACACTATGACTATCCCAAGTCCCTGTCGGCTATTGAAATTTCCCCAAAGCCACCGAAAAAAGAGGTCGAACACCCGTGCCCCCCCCCCCCCCCCCCGTTTCCCGTTTCCCTGTTCCATTCCCTTACCCCAATCTGTCAGGGGGTTAGCTGCAGCAACGGGTGCAACTCTTGTTGGCCTGTTCATAAAATGCAACGCTTATCCAGAAGGAAGCGAGAAGAGGTAGGTTGGTAGTAAGCAACCATGGACAGACACAGAGAGAGACGATGACCGCAACGGGCGACGTGCATATCCGAACATGTCAGGGCCGTTGGCACCGTAAGAATGCAGTTTCTGGTTGAATGGTGAGCATGGTCTAGAGCTGGTGCCTGCCTTGCCTGTCCCCAACCTCGTAAGCGTTGTGTGTTCGTGAGCCTTGGGAACCTGGGGCTTACCTTGCTACAAGGCGATCACGCACCCACCACCCACTGCTTGCTTAGCTAAGTCTCTGGATGGAGCCCGTCGAAGGGGGGAAAGGGAAGGGGGGTCTCTTACAGGCCTCGAGCTGACGGTCGAGTTACAAGTATGATGATGTATCAGCGAGCGAGCACGTCTTCTGGGATGGGCAAGAAGTATTTCGTATTTCGAGCTACCTAGTAAACTTCTCAAGAGTCTGAGAGACTGAGAGTCCTAGAAAGGGGACTGGAGAAGGGACGCGTGGCTTGGCAAACCACCACCACCACCACCACCACCCCCAGCCTAGTCTCTGGACACTATTGTATCCGACAGGACCGACACTGCCGTTCTAGCCCGGCTGCTGCTCAATTCCCAGGGGGTGTGCGGGAAGGGTTAGAGGGTGCTCTGCGACGCTTCGGACAGCGCTTACTTACCTGGCCTGGTCTGGCCTGGGCTTGGGGGAGGGGAGGGCAGAAAACGAAAGGAATTTGGTGCTAGGACTATCTGACGCAACGGTCGTGATAACTGACAAAAGTTGCGGGGTGTCGCGGCGGCGAGCGAGCGGGCGAGCGGGCGGGCGGGCGTTGCGTTTTGTGTGGGGACTCTGCGGGCAGTAAACAAACTTGTCTCGGTCTGCGACGGGACTTGTTGATAGAACACTTTGATATCCCGTAGTTTGGCATTGTGGAACTCTCTCATGCATGGGCTTGAGCCATTGTCGTCAGTTTGATAACTCTGTTATCTATGTCATTTTCACGTTACTCGAAACGTCGAGTCTGTAATGAGGGGCGAGGTTGACCCATTCCCTCTCTCTCTCTCTCTCTCTCTCTCTCACTGTGTCAACATGCTTGGGCGAGAGGGGGTTCGGATTTGGTGTTACACGAATGGCACCCGCAAGTCCTGACTGTTTCTGGGCAGGCAGGCAAAAGGCCATGATGGGTTTGGTGAGAGCTCGGGAAGCTCGTAACCCTCGCATCGCAGTTGGTCCGTGATACCCTGGCGGCGCCCTCCGATAGCTGTCAACTTGGAGGAGGGCGAGAGAGTGTTGCAGAGAGGCCTAGAACTGACAACACCGGCGAGTATCCAATCATTGGCTACTTCATCATTAGTTCTTAGCCTGCCGGTGGTCGTGCTATACGTCCATATTATCTCACAAATTGTTGGAGTTACGCAAGAGTTGACTGACTGACCTGCATTTGCCTGCCCCGGCGACGAAATGAAACTTGAAAGTGAGGTTGGGGTAGTAGGATCGTAGGGTCGTAGCGGGCGAAAAAGGAGTACGTGCCTTTTGGTTCCGTCTCAACCGCCTAGGTCTAATCAGCTGCACCTATTTCGAAGACTATGCCTCTGAAATCGAGAAGGGCTTTGCAATGTCTCGGAAACATCGTGATAGTCGACACCATCTCGCCGGTCATCCTCTACATCCCGTCTCTTTCGCCTTGTCGGCTGCGCATGTTACGTAACCTGCCTTGATCGACTGCTGGTGTGAAGCTAGACATCTACAACTTCACAAGTGGCATGTGTTGCATTTCGCTTCTGCTATAGAGGTATATTCTGCCCATTCTTTTCAAACGGCCTAGGCATTAAGACGCCGTTGGCCTCGTAAGTCTCAGCTTTCTTCTTCTTCTTCTTGCTTGGGCGTGTTTTCTCCTCTCGTGGCGAAAGGTCAAGCATTCTCTCTCTCTCTCTCAGTAGCGTACAATAAGAAAAGAAGCATGAACGAGACCATCCTCACTCCTCCTCCAAGTCTCCGTCGACCCATTCCACCTCACCCCTTGCTTCAAAACCACGCCGATATGCAGACAACCAAGTGCTTAGACTGTAAATCGAAAAAGCAGGAGGGAAATGACACGTCCAACGCCACCAAGCACCATCGCCGGTCGACGAGAGTAAGAAAGTCCGCCCCAAACGAAGCTTCAGCTTTGTCTTGAACCAGCTATTCTGCCCACGGCGCCATGTGGCCTGTTCCCCCTTCCTCCTCCCACGCTCTGTCCCAAAGGAGAGGCACGCATCTGTGATGGGATGCACGAGTGTGCAGATTCCCGGCCACCATCATCGAACTCCAACCATCGACACCACTGTCGTCCCATTTCTAGGTAGGGAGGAGGTTGAGGAGGGGAGGGGGAGACTAGACCTTACAGACGCCCTCGCGTCGGGCTTGCCTCCCACACTTCTGCACCAGTCTGGTGTGTGGTGGTTGCGACCCCCCTCCATGTCAACTGCGCAGCCATCGTCGACCAGTCAGTCACTCACTCGACGCCAAACATTCAACAGCCCATCTTGCCTCCCAAGCCAGGTAGGGTAGGGGTCATTTCCCTCTGCGTCCGCCTCCTCTTCCATCCCCTTCTCCTCCTCGCCACCCAGGCCTATGTAGGGGCAAAAGTACACACAGTAGACGCTCAGGGTAGACTCCTTCCCACACTCACGTCCACATCCAGCCGTTCCGCGCTCGTGGGCTCCCCTCTCTGGCCTGGGGCTGTCCCAACTTGGACCATTGAAGGTGTGGCCTGCATCAGACCGGGCTGACCGGACCACACCGTGAGCAAGAAAGGCGCAGGAAGAAGGGGGCTGATGGCAAGGCAGGCGGCTTATGTGTGCTGGTGGTTTCTCATACCCACCTCTTTGAGAAACGATAGAACCGATTTTTTGGCTCACCTGGCCATGAACCCTCGTCCTCCTGATGGAGCAGAAACTTTCTTGCTCTCAGCCTGCTTGTTTTTCGCAAAACGCAACCACCATCTCTCACCTTCGGGTCAGCCAGCCTCACGGGATATTTCCTATCGCGGAAGACCACCCCTTCCTCCACCTTGATCCATGGACGATGGTTCAGTGTGGGGGGGGGGGGGGGGGGGAAGGTCACCGAGCCAGGTGAGCCGTGAGCTGGTCCAGCCCTGGCGAAGAGGGAGGTCAGTCCCGGTCAGCAGTCCAATGAGAGGCGGTCATCTTCGTTCCTGAGAGTACCTCTCTTCGGCATTTCTTTTTTGCTATTTCGTTTCCTGCCGAATCTGCCAGGGGCATTCCCCTCCGGCTGGGACCAAGGTCAAGGGGGATCGATCCTGGCTAATACAGTCCAGTTCCTCGCTCGAGAGCGGGCGCTGTCGAGCTATTGTTGGTCGGCTTACGGATCACCAACACTGCTTTTCATCATTTTATCTTGAGGCTCATTTCTGCGCTACTGGGGGGTGCCAGTGCCTGTCAGCGAGCTTTCATTGGGGATTCCTTTGAAATTTGGCCCGGATTCCGTCCGCCGAGGGCGTGCGTGCGCGCGCTCTTGCGGCCTGCCTTGCAAGGCCCCGGCCGGACCTAACGGCGAGAAACCACGGAGTTTTTCTTGGGGAGGATCCAATCAATGGAACCCGTCCATCTCCCGAGCCGCCGGGCCTAGACCGTCCGTTCCTACTCTACTTCCCCTGTCGTCTCTCTGCCCCCCCTGTTTCCAAAGGAGACAGGAGTTCGGAGTTTGTTGATCAGTGAAGAAAACCCACCCCTTGAGCTTTTTGTTTCTGACGGACATTAACCGGTTATTTGATACAGATTGCTGATCATGTCCAGATAGGTAGACACGGCTTTGGATTTGTGAGTAGATTGCAGAAGTCCAGAGTCAGGGGCGCGCACAGGGGGCTGCGGGCAAGATACTGGTATGGCAGATGGGAGTTTGCCAAAAAAAAAAAAAAAAAAAAAAAAAATTTGCCCGGGGCCGTCTCGGAGGTGATACATCATACACCACCCCCTTGGCAAGTTGGCACTTTTATGGCGCTCGACTTTTCTGATTCACAACGGCAGTTGGGGGAAAACAAGAATTGAGAATTGGAGAGGAAAAAGAAACCAAGAATTGTGACGGAAACAGCCGGTGAGCGGTCGCACAGACTGCCAATCTTCACCGATGAGGGTCCCCGTCTCCGGGCTTTCTTTTTCCTTCTCTCCACGCCATGCCATGCCATGCCGGCATGTCGCTGGCCGGCAAGGCGAACCTCCGGCGTGGGAGCTGGGCTCCACACCGGTGGGATGTGGAGCGATGGGGGAAGCTTGGGTGCATGGTGCTTTGTGCTTTGTGCTTTGTGCTTGGAAGAGAGGAGAAGATGAAGCTACTGTAATTGGGATTCAGGAAGCAAAAGAACGGGAGGCCGCAGCTTTTCGATTCGGGATAAGGGCATGGCGGCGAGCTGTCTGTCGCGGCGCTTCTTCCTCTCCCTTGCTTTTCGGTCTGCTGAGGATGGGGATGAGGATGGAGCGGACGAGGATGCGGGTGCCCGCGCATCAAACCAGCTCGGCTTGCCTAGCTTGGGGTCGCGCGAGGCCACCGAGGCGTCTTTCAGCTCTGCTGATGATGAGGAGAGGCGGGAGATCGCGTCGAGAATGCCAGCATCCGTGGACCGTGAGGGTTTTGGCGTGATAGCTAACCCTCCGGTGAGCAAGGGTTGCTGCTGCTGCTGCGCTGTGCAGATGGGATAGAGAGAGCTGGATGTGCGTCTCCTAGTGTGAACGCGCGCGAGCGGAGGGACCCGTACACACGTTAGGCTCCACGAATCGACCGGATCGTTTCTTCATGCAGGTCTCATCACGATGAAGGAAGCGTATCTCGGTTAGAGACAGATCGGTCTGGCTGCCGAGTGCCATGTTAGGGAGGAGATCAGCCTCGGAAATGAGTGCAATTCTGACTTTTTGCTAGTGTATTCACAAGTCGATTTTGGGGATGGGCGATGGTCGGTCGGGCCATCTAGATGGCGCCAGGGGTTGAGATCGTACGGGTCATAGATTTCGGGGGTTTTGCTAGGTTTATTTTGTTTGTTGGAGGTCAATTTTCCAAACTTGTCCATGTTGGCGAGTGCGAAGAATTCCCCTCCCCCTTGTCTAGCTGCGGGGGCGATGCTCTTGGAAGCATCACGGTGACGAAACAGCAACAATACCACTGCTGCGGTTCTTGGTTTCTAATCCAGCAAGCGATATGAGCACCTGCCCGTCTGGAAGGCTGCCCATCCTCAATGATTCATGAAGCCATATTGGGAAACCCACGCAATCTCGAAAAGACTGATTCGGGGTTCTTTGCGAGTGAGTGAGTAGCCCCTGATTGCACGCTGGAATCCTGAATTCGGGATGAGCGTTAATGGATGGCGGGAAGGCAAGTTGGCATGTCACACGAACCTGCATTGCGCCGAGTGGCACAAACACATGGCCTGAGGGCAGAGACCTACCCATGGCGTGTCGCTCTGCCTCTCTGCCTGTACGGTTGCGGTTACCCGACAGATGATGCGCCACGATCATGCAATCCTCGACTGTCGGTGCTTCCATCTCCATTATAGATGTGACGTCCCTTCTCGGAGCGAAGACCAGACCGTCGTTGTGTCTCTCGCTGGACCGGCCTTGCATGATCGAGGCCCTAGATCAACCCCTCTCAGGAGATGACGACCATTGGAAGACGGGGTTTGCTCCTGATTGCTGTAAAATCGAGAGGAGGACACTTAGTCGATGACAAGGATGAAACTTTGTGGCCAGATGTCTCTTGGCGCGTGAATCTGGCTACAGGACATGCCTCGTAAGCGATGGAGGGAGGGTCAACGTAGAGGCGGCTCGTTGAGCTATGTACACACTCTGCGAGGAGTGTGAAGTGATCTTGATATCGACCTTGAATAGCTTCGTCCAGCGTGGGGGTTGGGGGTTTGACGATTGCTTACAGCACCGAGGATGTCATGGGAAGGCGAGTTGCAACTGGCTATCTCGGGCTCTCTATCTTTCTTCTTCGTGGCAAAGATAACACTTATTCAGCTTGACTGTGCAGATGCTTGACGGAAGTGTCTACGATGATGACAGGTTACCTCCGGTCGCAAATGCTCGTGAGGGACTTAGAGCTAGCCAGGGTTGCTGTTTCACTTCAGCTGCGTTTATATCGCTTCACAGAGCGGCTGGAGGAGTCTCCCTGGTCACTTCGGATCTCTGATGTCGTCGTCATGAATAGGCTATGGTTTGTGAGCTGGCCAAGGGATAATGGAGCAGTATGGGAAAGCCCTGACTTGATGGGGAGTGGACGAAGATGCAGTAGGAGTCGCCAAAATCGAGAGACATTGTTCAGTTCAACGAGCGGTGTTCGTCGTAGAGGTAGGTTCAATGAGATTACGGATGGAATGACGAAGAGACATGAGAAACACTTCCTGACCACCTTGGCAAGCCTACTTTGCATAATAAACCAAACTCAAGTTTTCATGTGCTTGAAGCAATCGCTCACAAAAGCCTTCTTACACCAGAAGACCCTCTAACAAGCGGATCAGCTGCATACATAGTCATCGCACAACATTAACTCAATTGCAGCATTACCGCTAGGTAGGACACATACGCAGTAAGAATACCTCACGATCGTGCTGTTTAGGAAGGAATGAGCCCAATAGATGTTATTAGTGAATCATCAACTTCGAAAGGGCTAGGCAGAAGGGGCCAACATAGAGATACCAAGGTTGAGCTCTGCCAGTAAATGTTCTTCCATCCTTCTGTATTCTATCACCGAGCTTTTGAACGCGATTGAGGGACCCTCTAGAGGTTGACCTGAGCAGGCTAGGGAGTTGGGGTTGGGTTTTATTGTAGTTCACGGAGACGGACATCAATGGCGTCTCTGAAAATGCGCCTGCCGACGCTAGGCCGGCTGCGATCACTTGAAAAGCAGTTCCATCATGAGTAGGTGAGAGTGTAGTCGGTGCTAGGACAAGACCATATGAGAAGAGGATTCTTAGCTGATACTACAGCTGTGATATGAGGCTCGGTGAGATATGCTAGTCCAGTCTCTGCGCCATGATGGAGACTACCAAGCCAGGAGGAAAAAGAGGTCGATTCCCCATATCCTTCAGCGCAGCTGGCTGACCAATTTCTGGGTTCTAGCCAAGATAGGCGAGGGATAACGATCACGTGTACGTATTGCATATTCATCCCATCTACACAATATACACGGGAAGGAACCCATATATATCCCGTCAACGCCGTTCCTGTCACCAGCCAGCAGGCGCCCGTCTAGGTCGACGGGTCGGGTCAAACTGGCTGGGTGGTGGAGTAGTTTAAGGTCAACAATCAATTACGCCGACAGCCTACTCGACGACAGGTTACGAGTTCGAGTTCGATTCCCAGCGTGAGCACCAAACGTTCCCAGCATGAGCACCAAGAGATGTAACCCCCAGTTCAGCACCGGGGGGGTGAACTCTTTTTTTTACTCCCCTGGGAATAAGAGATCTTGATTTGACAACGGCTAACGTCTAGCTATATTAGAAGACATCCTGTCCGTCTTACTCACGCTCCTCGTTGGAGTCGAAGCCTTTGACTGTCGACTGCGTAGCTACACAAAAAGGTCCGATGAGCCGAAGTAGGTCGACAGGTGGCTATTGGAGGCGGGATTCCGGAAGAAAGCAGTCATCATACGGTGAAACACCTCTGTTCCTTTTTCTCCCATGGTTGATAACAGTGTCAGCCTCATCAACTGGACTTGGACCAAGAACAAGTCCCAGAAAGGCAACTACTGTCTGTCGCTCCTTCCAAGTCTCGGGGAGTCACTCCAGCGTGAGCCCACGAAAGCGGCATCTTGGCACCTTCGGCGACTTGTACCAACAAATTAGCGCCTTGATTGGGCCGAGTGGTAGACGACGTGCCTTTGATACGCGCCAATGTAAGAAGGTTACAAAGCAATATAACCATCATCTGGATAACTGGCCTCTTGTCTGAATCAGACACACGGGCAGGGCAGTACGGGCGGATTACATATACCGGCGAGATGGTAGGTTGAGTGACCCCTTTGAGAGCGATGGTGGCCCCCTACGTGGAGTTGAGCCAGCTTACTTGCCGTGCGCTTCTCACCGTCCAAAGAACTCAGAGAGTTCTCACTTCTGTCTTTAGTCGATTGAAGTCCGTGGACGGCTTCTCCCCCCGCCCTCTCGGACATAACTATACAGCCAGTCCAGCAGAACCGGCCACAAGTGAAACCCCAAGGTCGAGTAACCAGATGGCGCCTCCTGGCTCCAAGCTCATTTCAAGATAGTCACTGGGCACTGCCGTTCCAAGACCCTGAAACGCTGAGTAAATGGGACAAACACCTGGAAACCTTACACCCGGTTAAAGTTGAGAGTAGCCGAGATAGTTGCGAAACCTCACTACAAACGTCGCTAGTTAGCCCTGGCGAAGAGGTTACGCACACGATGGACGCAGTTGAGGTCGCCGACCTCAAAACTGAATCGGAAGCATCAGTAATCTAGTGGGATAACTTTATGTTTGTTTCTCATCAAGAAGCGTCGTGAGCCAGACTGGTGACTGCCATCGGAGGGTTGAAGGACATAAATATCCGTATGAAGAACTCAATCGACCCCGACTACATTTACGGTGGTATCAGAGCCAATGATCATACGTCTGCGCCTCCTCCTAGTTCACTCAACAGCAATGATGGTTCCTCGGGTTGAATACAGGGGGCCGCATCGGCAAGTAAGTTTTTCTTATTCAACATAAGGCTAGTTTAGTTTGACTTGCGCAGGGAAATTGGTGATCGATATTCTGCCCAGCGCTGCCGCAGCCCGTCTTGGTCAAGACAACGCGCGTCTTGAGCCTTGACTCTCGTGCGTTTGACACAACTCGATGACAAACATTGAAGACAAATCATGTGATGTATAATGGGTATACAATTGTCGAAGAACAAAGGGCGCCAGGAAGTCCACCTTATACGAAGAACCCGTCCACAGCTCCTTACTAGTTACCGTCCTCTCGTAGAGCGAGACCGAAGTAGGATGTTGCGGCTCGTGCCAGAGGAACCACAGAGAACAAGCTTCGCCACAATAGTTGTTCTCAAGGGTTCAGGGATACCCGCACCTGCCAAAGCAACTTTAACCGCTGCTCAAATGCTCGCCCGTTAAACGCATTATGCTTTGAAATAAGATGAGGCTCAAGCCGCTATACTCGTAAAGGGGGACTTGCCGCAGGGTAGTTAACCACAGAAAAGAAGCTACCTGACTCGGGAAAGAGACAATTAAAACCTACACGTATTAACCACCGCCCTGGTTTTCCTCACAGTTCCCGTCTCTACGGTTGCAGATCTTTTCTGCTCTTTCTACTTGGGCGATTTTTTATTCTTACTTCTATTCAATGCCTAGCGGGCTTCAGCACGGATGCCAAGTTGCTCTGAGAGTCTTTGGAACACACGATGCCGCCCCATCTTTTACTCTGTCAAGTTGTCAACTGATTCAGGTCCAGAACCTGTAATTAAACACTACTGAGGTAGTGCTAGTATGCTGCTGCTGGAGCCCCGAACTGCTTACACCGACCTCTGCGTGGTTTGGAGAACCTCAATTCCGCTCCGCAGGAGTGCAAGTCCATGAAGGATATGAGTCCACTTGTGTAGTCAAATACAATATGCTCGCACAAGTTGCTTATCGTGAATCTCACTCCAGTCTCTCCTTCACATCACGCTGCGATATTTGTGTGTGTAGTTCAACAGCCTAGAGTTTTTCCATCACTCCTTTATTCAAACAAGTAATTCTTTCTTCCAAATAGTCTCAAACCTTCGACGTTGAAGAAGATGGCCTCTGTTTCTATCATGGGCCTCGCGGCTCTGGCTCTCGCCCTCTCGCAACCGGCCCTCGCCGCCGTGTTCCCGACAAACATCTTTAACCGTTCCGAGATCGAGGCCATGTCTTTGGAGAGGCGCGGCTCCATGTACGCCTACCAGCTCTGGGACTCCGCCGAGATCCCGTACATCCTGCAGGGTCTCCCTCACGACTTGTCGGATTCGATCCGCGGTGCCATGAGAGAGTGGGAGCAGTCCACCTGCATCCGTTTCCTCCCCAAGACAAGCCAGGGTGCCTGGGCCAACTTCAAAAAGGTAAGGAGGAAAAATCATATGATTATATCAAGAAAGCAGATTTCGGGTACGGAACGTTCGCTGACTTACATGATTGTTATAGTATGACGATGGATGCTACTCCAAGGGTTTGGGATCTCCTAGCTCGGGAGAGAGAATCGTGAACCTCGATTATCCCAATGCTTGGGAGAAGTTCCTCTATGCCGGAACCTACAAGGCCTGCCTTGAGGCCGGCACGCCTTCTCACGAGGTAAAAAAGGGTTGCCACATCTCATACCTGACTTTGAAACTTACATGAGTTTCTAGCTTGGACATCTCATCGGACTCACTCACGAGCACCAACGTCCCGACCGCGACCAATACATCCGCGTCCTAACAGACCGCGTTCAAAAGGACGAACTCGACCAGTTCACAATCGACACGGGCGCCGACGTCTCCGTCCCCTTCGACTACAACTCCGTCATGCTCTACGACACCAAAGCCTTTGCCAACACCAACAAACTCACCCCCATCTCCGGCTCAGCAAGCCTCAAACACACAATGGAAACAATCACAGACAAGAACATTGACCCCTGGAACTCCCCGACCCCCAACGACTTCAAGGCCGTCAACGACGCCTACGCCTGCGAGCAGTACTACACCCGCGTGATACCGCAGTGCCTCGCCGGCAGCATCCCCTCCAACGGCGACTTCTCCTCGTACAGCTTCATCCTCGACAAGCACACCGAGGCCTACATGGCCGCCAACGGCTACACCCACGTCGCGGCCCACCAAAACTGCCGCGCCAACATGGCCGGGCAGGATACCGACAACTGGGGCTTCACGCCGCTCAACGGCTGGGGACCCCGCCCGCCGTACAAGGTCACCACGAACCGCTGCAAAAAGGACCACGACCGCCACGCTAGCCGGTACGAGGTTGCGCTGTGCAAGGGCGATAACGAGGGCGCTTGCGATATCAAGTGCGGTCTGCGTCGCGTGTGCCCCTTTGATGCTGGCGGTAAGCAGGTTGATAGCAAGGCTATTGATGTGGTTGATAACAACCTCTGGATCTGCCACCCTCACTAAGTGTAGTCACGGGTTTTGGCTGGGACCACCCGCGGTTCGAGCCTTTCTGGTAATAAGAGGAATCGATTGGGCTGTACACTATTCAAATGGACGAGGAGATGAGAGACGGCATAGCGTATGGAATGCTGGGAGTTCAGGTGGTAGTGGTTGCGGGAGAAGAATCGAAAATGTGTAATAGCTCAGCTCGGTTATATCACTTGAATCGACAAGCTGGTCAAGACACTATTGAAAGCGAAGAAGTCCTGTGGGCAATCTCATCATTTGGAATGAGCCAGTGACACATCACTTTCCTTGACACGATTGCTGAACTCAGGCCTCTGAAGATTCCTGCCTCGAGAGGAGACTAAAACGATTCCGCGACTGACAAAGCAGACAAAAGGCTATAGCAGTCGAGTGAGTGAGTGAGGCATCACAAGTAAGTGCCTTGGAGAGGTCGCAA